TTGGCGATCAGCCGGACATCCGGTGTCCGATACCCCGTCGGCGCAACGATTTGGACGATCCCGAGAGAGGGATGATATTCGTGTGTTCGGCGTCTCATAAGACGAAGAATATGTTCTTCTTTCTGGTACAGACAGAACAGGGAGACGTCTTTAAGCTGACTCTGGAGGTGGACGAAGATATGGTGACTGAAATCAAGTTGAAGTACTTCGACACCGTTCCCGTCGCCGCCAATCTATGCGTTCTCAAGACTGGCTTTCTGTTCGTGGGCTCTGAGTTCGGTAATCACTATCTCTACCAAATCGCACATTTAGGCGATGACGACGACGAACCGGAGTTTAGCAGTTCGTCGCCATTAGGAGAGGGCGAGACCTTCTTCTTCTCTCCCCGTCCTCTCAAGAATTTGGTTTTAGTCGACGAATTGGAATCACTCTCTCCTATAATGCACTGTCAGATTGCAGATGTGGCCAATGAGGACACGCCTCAGGTGTTAGTTGCCTGCGGAAGGGGTCCGCGTTCGACGCTTCGAGTTTTACGGCACGGCTTAGAAGTGTCAGAGATGGCTGTGTCTGAACTTCCCGGTTGTCCTAACGCTGTCTGGACTGTCAAGAAGAAGGCCGACGAAGAGTTTGACTCTTATATTGTGGTCTCATTTATTAACGCAACACTTGTTTTATCAATCGGTGAAACGGTTGAGGAGATCACAGACTCTGGCTTTTTGGGAACGACTCCGACGCTGTCGTGCGCACAGATCGGTGACGACGCTCTCGTCCAGATATATCCCGACGGTATCCGTCATATTAGAGCCGATAAACGAGTCAATGAATGGCGAACTCCGGGCAAAAAACATATCTCGAAGTGCGCTATAAATCATCGACAAGTTGTGATCGCTTTAACCGGCGGTGAAATTGTTTACTTTGAAATGGATATCAGCGGACAATTGAATGAATATACCGACAGAAAAGACATGAATTGTGACGTTATTTGTATGGGTTTGGGAGAAGTGCCGGCCGGCGAACAGAGATCCAGGTTTTTAGCCGTCGGTCTATCGGACAATACGGTCCGAATCATATCACTCGACCCATCGGTTAGTATTTTTATGTTTAATATATATTTGTTAGGTTTAGAGTTATTAAATGATGATCATCTCCGTGTTTCAACTGAATTCTGTGTTGAGCTTTTTCTATCTGATAATATTCTGACTGTTTTAGTGTTAACTTTAAGTCAATATCTCTACAAATAATATAATCTTTTACTTTCTATGTTTAGGAATGTTTGTCTCCGCTGTCAATGCAAGCATTGCCGGCAACGCCCGAGTCTTTATGTATTGTCGAAATGGGATCCAAGAATGAGTCTAAAACGTCGGGCCGTTTATATCTGAATGTCGGCCTTCAAAATGGAGTACATTTGAGGACAGTTTTGGATGAAGTGACCGGAGATTTATCGGATACTCGGACTCGATATCTCGGGACCCGTCCTATCAAACTATTTCGGGTTCAAANATGGGCAGTCGCCTATACGTTGGCGACATTCAGGAGAGCTTTTATTTTGTAAGATATAAGCGATCGGAGAATCAGTTGATTGTGTTCGCCGACGACTCTGTGCCGCGTTGGGTGACAGCGATGTGTGTCCTCGACTACGACACTCTGGTCGGCGCCGACAAGTTTGGCAATATTGTGGTGATTCGGTTGCCTCAAGGCATCAACGATGAGGTGGACGACGACCCGACGGGTATTAAGTCATTGTGGGACAGGGGATGGTTGGGCGGCGCCTCCCAGAAGACGGACATATTGTGTAACTTTCATGTCGGAGAAATCATACTCTCGATGCAAAGGGCGACTCTTATTCCCGGCCTTTCCGAAGCGTTGGTCTATACGACCATTTCGGGTACAATCGGTGTATTGGTTCCGTTCACATCACACGAAGACCACGACTTCTTCCAACACTTGGAAATGCATATGCGGTCAGAGAATGCGCCGCTCTGTGGACGCGACCACTTGTCCTTCCGGTCGTATTACTATCCCGTGAAGAATGTAATCGATGGCGATCTCTGCGAACAATTCAATTCCATTGAACCAAACAAACAGCGAAGTATCGCCGAAGACATGGACCGCATTCCAGCAGAAGTAAGCGCTCTTTGATCTCATTGTTTGCTTTCATTTACTAATTGTTGTATATTTTTCAGGTCTCGAAAAAGTTAGAAGACATTAGAACTCAATACGCGTTTTAAATGGCTTTGAATTTACATTTAATGTACAAAAATGTAAGTTTGACTTCAAATTACAAACGAATTTTCGTTTACAAATTAACAAAATTAATTAACATTCATAATATGTTTAACGCATACATAAAAATGGTTTAAAACAAAAACACAATTTACAAAAATATCCCAATATATGACGATTTGTATGAATAGTTTGGCCTCTTTTTTGTCCATTAAATAACATTTGAACTAAATATAGAGTTTTGAAATCATTGATACATTAAGTAATTCTTTAACTTTGTTGGCAAAGGTAGAGATGGGATGACTTTCGGCGACCGGATTGTAGTCAATATAGCGCTACGACAGGCGCTCATCAACGTTGACGTGCCGTACAGTTGAACGATTCGCACCTGTTTTGTCGTCCCGTAAATGTCCACAACTATATTGATCACCAAATATTCATTTAAATTATTCCCAATATTCATATTGAATCACAAATTTTTATATAAATCACAAGCCATTAATCATTTGTAAATAAAGTCAAAGCATTGCTTACCGGCAAACAGGGGTCCGTTATTGTAAGGGATGTCCTTCGCGTAGACGCCGTAGTCTTCGCCGTTGAATATGAAATGCATGTCCGCGTGATCTCCGCTCACGACATACATAACGCCTACTTTGCTGCCCACGTCTGTCGGCAGGTATGCCATATTGATGGCAGTCGTCGGCAAACCATTACTCGCGTCTCCATTATTGGTCTCTTCGATCGGATATCGACTGTACATCTGATTCAAGAAACTTTGGTGAAAATGTGGCGGCGATTGGGAAACGGCTGACGACGAAGTGGACGGAATGGGGCTGTCATCGGACGCTCCGATTGCCTCAATTTGGTTGCCGATTGTGTCGATCACGTCGTGTAACGTATTCTCGAAAACAGATTCATTAATGTCTTCAGTTTGCAAACTGCTGGGTCTGACCGCTGGTCGCAGCAAATATCTGGGAATCACTCCACGACTGGTGCGGATCTGTTCCCCATTGCCTAATATCGACGCATCCGAGTGTCGACCACTGCATCGATGCCGCGATCTTCGGTGTCCGTTGTTGTTGTGCTGATCGTGCGTTTGCAGCGATTGGTCGCTCGCCAGTGAGTCAGTGGTCGTCGACGACGACTCATCGATGACGGCGTCGGTGTCTCTCTGGGCGGCGGCCGACGGGTCGGACGCCTCCGAGTTGTTAGGAATGGCGAAAACCCAAGAACTGCCGCCGTTCTGGAGGTCGGGTAAGGCGTACTGCGGGAGCGGTGTATGCGCTGAGGGGTCGAGTTGTGTGAGCCCGAGCCTCATGTGTCCACTCCATCCCCTTTCGTTGCGCTCAATCTCTATGAGGAATATCTCGTTGGGAAGCAATGGCTTCTCCGAGAAGGCGATCGCGTGAGCGAAGGACGCCTTCCTATACGC